AACTAGTGTACCATGGGACATGGTTGTTTTGCACTATTTACATTACCTGGGTTGATTTACATTTGAATGCTGCTAAGAGAAATTCACAGTATGGACTTTCAATTATATTTTGTACCAGACACAATCTATTCTAATTTATTAGCAATTGTGTCCGGTACAAAATACAATTGAAAGTTCGAACTGCAAATTTCCCTTGGTAGCACTCATTTGTGAAGCAATTTATGAATACTGTAATATCTAGGATGATATTTGGTGATTGATAATATATAGTTATTGGATGCAAAGCAGCCAATAACTTATGATATCAGGATATTTTGTCAAATACTAATATTTTATGTATTTTATCAGTTTCATCGAATGACAGTTTAGAAGACAAGAATGATGATCTCGTGTATAATTTGCCAATATTCATTAGTATACGATAAACAGATAACTAAAAATAGTTATGTTCATAATCCAGGAAACGGTCGACTTAATCAATGCAGCTAAAATAGAAGCTTACACTGAGTCTGAAGAGTTACAGTTTCATTTTTTCATTTTTTATTTTGTGAATTTATCAAGCTTTATCTAATATTCGCTGCTTCAATTTCGTATTTCTATCTTTTTTTATTTTTTGTATTCGTTCATGTTTTATGTTTCTTGTATCATTTCACACTACACATTTTTACTCAGTTCATACATATTTATTTTTTACCCACCTATACTTTTATATTTTTTGCATACATACTTTCGTTCAATTCTGACACTTTCATATATTTTTATTTCTTTATAAACTTGGCTTATTTATTATGGTTTTATTTATATTTCACTTTCATTTACTCTTTACAATCCCATTTAATTTCGTTTACTATTTGTTTTTCTCGATTTTATTTATTTTTATATTTTCGCTTATACCTTACATTTTTTATTTTTATTTATTTCTATTATTTTCTTTCGTATTTATTACCTTCACCCTTTTATTTTCTTGTTCTTTTCTTCCATTGTTCTTTTCTTTCGTTGTTCTCTTTGTTCTTTCCTTTTCACTTTTTCTTTTTCGCTCACCTCTTCTTTTCTTTTATTCTCCTTTTCATTCTTTCTCTTCGCTTTTCACATTTCCATTACTTTCTCTTACTTTCGTTCTTTTCAACTTCATTATTTCTTTGTTTTCATTTCCTATTCATTCTTTTAACTCATTTTTCTATTTTTTCTTACCTTCATTTTTCCCTTTACTATTCCTTTTACCATTTCTCTTACCTTCATTTTTTCTCTCTACGATTCTTTCCCTTTGCCATTTTCTTTCAATTCTTTCCTTTACTTTTGACCCTTTTTCTTTCATTCTCATTCCTTCCTCTTCATTTTTTTCTCGCATTTTTCATGCTTTCATTCTTTTTCATTATCTTCGTTCGTTTCAATTTCATTCATCTTTCTTGTTTTCGTTTTTTATTACTTTATTTTTAATCATTCTTCGTCACTTCCTTTTACTTTCAATTCTTATTTGCTTCCAATCCTTTTCCCTAGCTCTATTTTCATCCCGTTTCTTCATTTCTTTTATTTTCGCTTTTGTTCACTTTACTTCTTTTTCTTTGGCGTTCTTTATATTTCTATATACTAGTTACTAGAAGTTTGTTGCCGGCTGGTGTCTCAAGGAGAAGCAAAAGAAAAGCAGAGCACTAGTAAAACGGCTTATGCCTCAGGTAAAAACTTTGTTAGAAACTATGTTTCATACTGGGACAGCAAGCCCAAGAAACAAAATGTCAGCAACAGAAATGCACCAAGAATTACTAAATCATTCATGGGAAGGTGAAATCAATGTTGCCAACATGTCTGAGGTGTCGACAATTTCAAACTGAATAAGCGGCTTTTCAAGAGCTTGAAAACAAGCAATGGCAGAACGTTCTTTGGAGGAAAATAAATTTACAAATTCAGAATAAATTTACATACCTCTATATATTGGTCTCAATTTTGTTTTTTTTTTTTGGCATGCCGTATTCATTTCTATTTTTTTTATTTTCTTGTCAGTTGTTTTTTTTTGAATATTCGTCATGTTGCAATCGAGCATTTGTCTATTTGTCATGGTCGAAATCTGACGGGAGTCCAAAGTAAAGTTTTTTATTCATAAAGTAACCTAGTTTTTTTTTGCTGTAATTCATTTCTGGGGCTCTTCAACTAGTTACCTGCGAAATAAAAACTGGATATCAATGATTTTCTTGCATTTTGCCTTTTTGACACTTTTCTGTATTCTTTGTTGTATCATATAAAATTAATAAAATCTACCCCAAATTTATATAATAATTTTGTGCCGATCTTATCCGGATCAGCAATTAAATACATTAGATAAATTACGCTCTATTGATATTTAATTGCCGTTAAACCTTTTAATATATTTAACAACTCTGGAACAAATTTGGAAACTTTTAAAACAATGCGCAATAAAGCGATTACCTTAAATGTAAAAACTCCTGTCACCTATGTATTATTTTTTTAGCCTTTTATTACTATATTTAGGATAAGCAAAATAAATTAATCCGCTTGAAAATAAATGATAGCTATTTATAGAAACTTTCACTATTATGCACATTGTGCATTCTTCTATTGTTACGTAGAAACATTCTAGATTTTTATGTAATCGGGTTTAACAAAACAAATATTAGTTAGT